CCTGTAGTCAGTACTTGGGAGACTGAGGAAGGAAGACTGCTTGAGCCTAGCGGTTCGAGGCCAGCCTAGGCAACATAGTGAGACCCCTGTCTCTAAAACATTGAATCCAATGGACACAGAGACAGACTCAGAGAAGATGATGTGAAGATCGGACGGGCCATCCATCTGCAAACGCAGAGAGAAGAACAGCTGGGAAGGGGCCTGAAGCGGGACAAGACACACCTCAGAGCTGGACAGGACACACCTCAACCTCAGAGGCAACCAGCCCTGCAGCACCTGGGTCTCACACCGCCAGCCTCCAGGACTAGGAGATGATATGTTTTGGTTGTTTAAGCCCCCGGTTTGTGGTACAGATCAAACTCAGAGACCAAAGGCTGCCTTCAGGGTCTGTGCTCTGGCTTCTAGTGATGCCTGGCCAGTGCTTCAGGACTGCCACCTCCCTCTTTTGCTTCTTCAGTTCTATCTCTGAGGCAGCTGAGGTCATCTGACCAAGGACAGTATCAAGGCATTAGAGGAAACCATTTTATTCTAGATACCCTGTAAGTCAGTCCAGCCCGGACAGCTCCTTGACACTTCATGGTGGTGCCGGCAGCGCCCCAGCTCTGGCCCACTGTGCTCCTCTTCACTCAGCAGCTCCTCGCACTCCTCATTGAGCTCCTCTGTGCCCCTAGGGCTGGCCCCGTCTTTGCTGGATATGAGCTCCAGCTCCTCGCTGAGGGACTCACCCAGGCCCCAGTTATATCCTATGCAGGCCTCACCCTCACTGGAGTGCCAGGTCCTCACTGGATATCATCACATCCAAGGCCTCACTGTTCTCTTCACTGGGGCTGTCCTCTGTGGCCTCCTCCATCCCAGGCAGCTCCACTAACTCCTCACTAGGCTCCAAGTCCTCACTGGCCACTTCCTCACACCCTGGGAGAGTAAAATGACTGACTCACCACCATCATTGAATCACACGTCAGAAAGTCAGGTTACTATCCTCAATGCACTCATTTTTCCTCCAAAAAGTCTGCTTCCCTTGGTGCTACATACCACAGGACTCCCCCTCTATTGCTATGGAGCATCATTCGTACCAGAGTGATGCTTTACAAAGGAAAAACTTGCTGCACTGCTAAAATAAAAGGCCTCTCTGGAAACCCTAAAGGTTAGCTTTGGCTTTCCAAGAATATAAATAAAACTGTGAAGTTAAACCCACAGGCTTTTCCCAGATGGTAATGCCTGCTATGACTAACGGGATCAAAAGGCACTATTATCAGGTACCCTTTCTTTCCTAACTTAGAGCATCACTTCACTGAGCAACAGGGTCCTCCAAGAATAACATGAAGAGATCATCCTAATTCAAACAGGTCCACTGCCTATTAATTAACTTTCCTGATTAACATTTTGACAAGAGCTCATTTTCACGTGCTCCATATTCTGGAAATTTCAACAGTCACCTAGCCTCAGCAGTTTTGACTGTACCCTCCGATTCAGAGGCAGCATTCCTTTCCAGGCTGGTGTCTGAATCCGCTTCCACGGCCTCTCCTGGAGGGCTTCTGCTGTGAAGGACGGGTTCCACACCCACAGGCCCCAGGCCCAAGTCTCCTTGGCCACAGCGTGACAGTGAGCAACTGCCTGGTGCTCAGGCACAGACCTGCATACCGTGTGTCCAACACCCGGCACCCACTTCACCCTTCCCCACCTATCATGAGGGAGGTCTGAAGTACGGCAGGGGTTCTACATTCTGATAAATGTAAAGTGCAGCTCAGAAATATCTTACAGCAGATTTTAAACTACTTTTTTGTCACATGAAAAATACACCAGGTCTAGTAAATATGGTTTATCAACAGCAGTCCCCAACCTTTTTGGCACCAGGGACTGGTTTCATGGAAGACAATTCGTCCACAGAGCGGGAGGTGGGATGGTTTCAGATACTGGATTCTGATAAGGAACGCGCAACCTACGTCCCTCGCATGTGCAGTTCACAACAGGGTTCGTGCCCTCATGAGACTCCACTGCTGCCACTGATCTGACAGGAGGTGGGGCTCAGGCAGTAATGCTTGCCCGCCTGCCCGCCGCTCACCTCCTGTTCCTAACAGGCCAGTTCATAACAGGCCATAGACCACGGTGTTGACCCCTGAACAACATCATTAATAGGCAGAAATCGCTCTCGCTCTGCATCCACGCCCATCTACACTAAACACGCCGCCAGCAGGTTGCACAGTGACTACATACATACAGTAGCCACGGAGTAGCAGCTTCTCCTGTGTGTAAATCCTGAGAGCCTGAAAATGGAAGTCATCTAGAACACCTGCAAGGACGGAATGAACAAGTACCACTGCCACACTCATCATGGGAAACACAGGGTACCTAGTCTTAAAGCAGGTCTGTATGCAAAATGGAGCATTTAACAGTGCAGCGTTTCAGTAAGACTAGCACCTCTCTCCTTGACTAGAGGTGAAAACTCCCATATTCACTCATATCTAATTAAATCTCTATACGTGGCCAGGCGCGGTGGCTCAAGCCTGTAATCCCAGCACTTTGGGAGGCCAAGATGGGTGGATCACGAGATCAGGATATCGAGACCATCCTGGCTAACATGGTGAAACCCCGTCTCTACTAAAATACAAAAAACTAGCCGGGCGAGGTGGCGGGCGCCTGTAGTCCCAGCTACTCGGGAGGCTGAGGCAGGAGACTGGAGTAAACCCGGGAGGCGGAGCTTGCAGTGAGCTGAGATCCGGTCACTGCACTCCAGCCTGGGTGACAGAGCGAGACTCCGTCTCAGAAAAAAAAAAATCTCTATACTTTTACGAGTAATTGCTCTATGGCTTGGTGTATCAGATTATTTTCCCCAAGGAAAACAAAAACTGGCTACAATTCAGTCACTAAGGGACTTTCCCCTTTGAATTAAAAATAATAATAATGTTAAGAAAGGGCCTGTTGAATGACAATGTTAAGAAAGTGCCTGTTTAAGACGTCCGGTCTCAGACACTGAGAGGACAGCCTTTTTCACCTCACATGCCCTAGAATAGAAGCCACGGTGTTGGAAGAGTGGGACTTCCTCCTCGCTTGGTCACCATGAGAATCAAGGATCAGAACACAGGACTTCAACCCCAACACTGCCCTGTCCGGCAAAGCAACAAATGCAGTTTGCTGAAGGCTACAGCAAGACGCAAAGGCCATTTTTAAGACAGAGACGGTCTCTTAGAGGAAGATTTCGTGCCTGTGAGGGTCAGTGAGGGAAGGATGTAAACATGGTTCTTTCTTGAGCTCTGTTTCTGCTGATGGCAGCAGCGATTACAGCAAATGCACTTCAAAAATGAGCAGACCAGTCTCCCGGTCCCCTAATCTGAAATCTCCTGCTTAGCTTCAGTTTCCCTGAAAATGCTTGAGGCCACTGACTGTCCTTCCTCCCTCAGAAAGGGAGGCTCTCTTCAAGCCACCCAGCCCATAATAAGGTGTAAGGATAACCTCTTTGAATCCCCATTACAGATACACTGAAGAACTGCACCATGCAAAAGGCCCAAGACCTACCAGGTATGAGTGACTATGCTTCTATAAAGAAGCACAATCTTCACAGTCTGCGGCAGGCAGGGGCTCCACGTGTCTCCCCTATACTATCTGCAGACACAACTGCTCTTCTCTTTCCCTCCTGGGGGTTGCAGGTGGTGGTCAGTTTCTTCACCCATGCTCCAGGCAATGAAGGAAGTAAACACACAATGTGTTTCCCTCTCAATAAGTCAAAAGACAAAAACAGCTACAGGACTACACATTTAATCCTGACCTCTCAGGTCACCCACCGCATCACACAGGAAGTCCAGTGGTTGGTGGGTGAGAAGACTAACAGGAGACAACTAACAAAAGTGCCTGACCCAAACTGTGCCCAAGACACACACCAAAGCCTAGGACCAGGCATCAGGACTGAAATGCTGTCGATGAGAAATCCATTTTCCTACAATCACACAGCAGCTATAACAGCACTGTCTCCCTTAACAAAACTATTCTCTCCTCAGCAAAGGCCTCCGCAGTCTTGCTTCAGAGGTGCCTTTCAGCAAACTCTCAACAACGGTCCTCACACACAATGTTCACAGATGAAAGGTCTTGCAAACAGTACTATGATGCTTAATGATTTTAACAGGAATATGATGTGGCAAATTCACACACAAATTGGTTGTTCAATGGGAAACAACATTTCCAAGACACCAGCACCCATGCCCTTACCACTGTCTCATCTGAGGGCAAAAGCAAGTTAACTAGGGCCATACATAACAAAGAAAAAAAAATACATTAAACCCTTTATTATTTTAATTTTTCAAGTTGTAACTTCAAAACAAATTTTCAAAGATGAAGAGGAGAAAAGATTTTACAGCCCCTATGCTGTTTTTTTTTTTTCAGACAGGGTCTTGCTCTGTCACCCAGACTGGAGTGCAGTGGCCCAATCTCGACCTTGAAGGTTCAAACAATCCTCCCACCTCAGTCTCCCAAGTTGCTGGGAGCACAGGCAGACACCACCACACTGAGCTAATTTTTTGTGGGTTTTTTTGTTGTTGAGACAGGGTTTCACCATGTTGCCCAGGCTAGTCCAATGCTGCCTTAAACACAAAGTTTCACAACAAAATACAATGTTTTGTTTTGTTTTTTTAAGACAGGAGTTTCACTCTTGTTGCCCAAGCGACAATGCAATGGCGTGACCTCAGTTCACCACAACCTCTGCTTCCCAGGTTCAAGTGTGTCTCCTGTCTCAGCTTCCCAAGTAGCTGGGATTACAGGCATGCGCCACCACGCCCGGCTACTTTCATATTTTTAGTAGAGATGCAGTTTCTCCAAGTTGGTCGGCTGGTCTTGAACTCCTGACCTCAGGTGATCTGCCCGCCTCGGCCTCCCAAAGTGCTGGGATTACAAGCACGAGCTACCGCGCCCAGCCTAAAACACAATGTTAATTCAACAGAAAGGTCATACTAAGCCCTCACTCTCACTTGGGTCATGGACACACACCAAGTCAATCCACATGATTAACTTACCAAAGAATTCAAATGAAAATGGGTCCCTTCCACCAAAAAATTCCCTGAAGACATCATCTGGGTTACGGAATGTGAAGCCAAATTCAAATGGACTGTCAAAATGACTTCCACCTGCACAAATACAACACAGCTTTTAGTTTATGAATTCTGGTGTTTTGTAGGCAAAGAATTCTTTGTTGACAGAACATTATACAAATCATGATCTAATAAAAAAAATTTCATAAACCTGAAGTTCTCTGTAATTCAAAACATGAGTCCTGTACTGACTGAAAGTGAGTGTGCCCAGCACTGATGACACATGAGTGCAGATATTGAGACTACTTTTCGACATCTCTAAACCCATGATCGGCATGTAACATTACACACCATTTTTATGATTTGTTATGAAGGTTTACCAACCAAAAGTATTTGCATCCACTTCGACGACTGGCCTCCTGGAGCCACAGAAGTTGCCATGTGGCCCCAGTGGATCTGGAGCAATAATTTCCCAACATTCCAAGGGAGGCTGGTCACAGCCCAGTGACCATGGGAACTTTTGGAGACAAAGTATAGGCCCTACAAGGTCATTATTTTAGCTTTTCAGGAAAATCTGCTCTTCAAACCCTTAAGATAATTTTGACATAACGTCAAGTGCTGATCTAAGGGTGTATGTTCACAATATATTGCAGTATGGTTACAAATTGTATCCTACCTATAAGTAGTACATCAACATATACTTCTAGTCTCACAAAAGATTTTTAAATGCTATCAATTTCTCTGTCCTCTCCCCAATTTAGTATGCTTTCTAGGTTGCATCTCTATTTACTGATACAAAATAGACTCTGACCAAGAGACTCGTGATTTACAAACTCAACTTACTTGCCAAGACCATTTGTCTTCAAAGAAAAAACTCACGTACTTACCTCCTCCTCCACCATTTAATCCTTCTTTGCCATATTTGTCATAGATGTCCCGTTTCTTAGCTAAAAATTTAAAGAAAAGTCAGTAAGGCCAAGTTCCTTTTAAACCCTTAATTCAAAAGAAAAGATGTTTCCCAAGTTGTAAATCAGTTTTCAGTGTTTTACAATTAAATTTCAAGGAGTATGGCCATCCTTTCTTTAAAACAAAAGGAAGCAAGAGGGAAAACTTTCTGTACCTCTCTGCTGAAAAACAATTCAAAAAAGACATTAAGTATGTAAGCATTTACGGCTGGGCACGGTGGCTCACACTTGTAATCCCAGCACTTTGGGAGGCCAAGATGGGCAGATCACCTGAGGTCAGGAGTTCGAGACCAGCCTGGCCAACATGGAGAAACCCCATCTCTACTAAAAATACAAAATTAGCCGGGCATGGTGGCGCATGCCTGTAATCCCAGCTACTCGGGGCTGAGGCAGGAGAATCGCTTGAACCCAGGAGGCAGAGGTTGCACTGAGCCGAGACTGCACTACTGCACTCAAGCCTGGGCAACAAGAGCGAAACTCCATCTAAAAAAAAAAAAAAAAAAAAAATTTTTTTTTTAATTCTATTAGATCATTTCTTTCACTCTACTGCCCACAGAGCCCAGGCATGCTACATTAAAATCACATAACCAAGTACAAAATTATTCCAACCACAGAAGTGCACCATCTTACTACAAAAATCTGCAGCACAAAAACATGCCAGGGCCTAGGCAAGTGGTAGAAAGTAGATGTGCCAGAAAGGCGCCAACCTAACACCCTGCAGGCTCATTCACCCTGAAAAGGGACCACCTGGATGCAAGGCCTGGGGCTAGCGTGCCACTCTCCCCCGAGCCTTCCCACTTAACATTCCAAACGCTACTTATATCCCAGAAGAAAAAGAATGACACTAGAAGCACTGGTACTTCTGACATGACACCATCTGTGCTCCTCAAAAAAATCTCATAGGCTGGACGCAGTGGCTAACGCCTGTAATCCCAACACTTTGCGCAGGCAAGGCAGGTGGATTACTTAAAACCCAGGAGTTCAAGACCAGTCTGGGCAACACGGCAAAATCCCACCTTTAAACACAATACAAAAAAGTTAGCTGGGCACAGGGGCACCCACCCGTGCATGGTCCCAGCTACTCGAGAAACCGAGATGGAAGAATCGCTTGAGCCTGGGAGGTCAAGACTGCAGCAAGCTGTGATCATGCCACTACATTCCAGCCTGGGCAACAGAGTGAGACTCCTTCTCAATTTGTAAAAAGTAAAAGAAAATCTCACATTCCACAAAATGGGAAAACAGGCTTATAAGCAAACCACTTACAAGCAGGTTCAGGTAGCCGGTGCCATGGCAAGAACAATGACCATGTTTTGAAGATAACTTCAGCTCGCACTTAAGGCTGCCTAAAAGGATATGAAGAACACACCCCACACCTCCCGAAAGAACCAAGCGACTCTTCAGTGTGAGAGTTTAAAGCTGCTCTATCAAGTATGAAGCTTCATTTTGGTCCTCACTTTTCCTAATGATACTAGTCCCTAAAATCCTGAATCTGGCAATACTGAAATAGCACACGAACAACAACAACCGAAGAACAAGATGGCAACACTGAGGCCTGTGCCCTCCTGTCACTCCAGCACACAAGTCCAAGGGAACAAGCCTGGCGCAGTGGCGCTTGGAGCCTGAGAGGATGATCACCTCAACCCAGGAGTTCAAGGCCTCCCCGGGAAACCTAACAAGACCCTCTCTCTTTAAAAAAAAAAAAACTTTCCAATGAATAAGCTCAACAGTTCAAGACCTTAAATGCCACATTTCAAGATGATTTCAAGTATCAGTGTTTTATGTCTTACTTCATATTTTTGAAGTAAAATGTCTGGGATTTCCTCTAAAACGAAGAGGGTGGGCCACAGTGTCACCAGAGAAAGCAAGGCTGGTGGTGTGCTGGTAGCTGTTGAAGGTGGCAAGCTTACGCTGGGTTCCTTCTGTTTTGTTTTTTGTTTTGTTTTGTTTTTGGAGACAGAGTCTCGCACTGTCACCCAGGCTGGAGTACAGTGGTGCAATCTCAGCTCACTGCAACCTCTGCCTCAAACTGGGTTCCTTCTTTAAAAAATAAAAAAATAAAAAAAACACCCACATTTGTTGTAAATATGGGCCAATTACCTGACCATATGCAGATACACTTAACCTAACCAAGTGCCCACTTCCAGGGTTCTGGTAGTCCATCCCTAACTTTGTAAATGCCTCGGCCTTTGCTCGCAACAGGCCACCCAGCACTGCAGCAGACGGGGGCATTGTGTGGCTTTCCAGTTCTGTCACTGTTCCCCCACCCCAGGCACAGCCTTTTACTTCCCCACGGAACCCCAACTGCATCTAGGCAACAGCTGACCCCTGACCCCTCACCCCTTTGTGAACTAAGCCAATGGATCTGACTTTCAGTAACATACAACACCTCTGCTCCAGACCCAGGAGGGGAAGACAGGCCTGAAATTTGCAAACTAAATTGTAGCTGTATGTTCCATCCCCTCTTCTTGGGAACTAAAGACGTCTTCTCAAGTAGTAAAGCTGACTCCACTGGCACGGTATTGTTTAAGCCAGTGGGGGTGAGCGAGGTCAGAATGATCACATACAACAACGGGGGCAGGCACGCCACATGCACAGTGACCTGAGTCCTGCAACCTCCTCTCTCCCGGGTTCCTAGTCCTGTTTTAGAACAGCCGTCCAAAGAGTGAAGCCCTGGTACTCCACAGCACTCGTGGTTACCTCAATCAATTCACATCTTCACGAGAAAAGTAAAAACCTCTCGGGGGCCCAAAATTCAGCTGGCATCAAAAACAAGTCACTTGAGTCCATACTGTGCTACCCTCAGGAGGATCCCAACACCCACTCCGCATGCCGGCATGCCCGCTCAGGGTCCTTCAGCAGCTTGGTGTCACTCACCATCCGACAGCACTTCGTATGCCTCCGCTACTTGCTTGAATTTTCTCTCTGCTTCTTCTTTATTCTCAGGATTTTTATCTGGATGCCACTTCAATGCCAGTTTCCGGTATCTTGAAAAGAATAAAGGATACTGATCACATTCTAAACCCAGAAATCAACTATGCTTTTGAAACTAACGTCATTAACCACGAGAATGGCTTCAGAGCTGCCAACTGGTGAGATGAATACCGGTTTTAATTGTAAAACCTCCCTTTTCTCTACAATGAAATACACAAAGTTCTAAAATCCAGATAGCCAGGTGAGGTGGCGTGTAGCCAGATAGACCCAGCTACTCCAGAGGCTAAGGGGTGGCAACGGCTTGAGGCCAGGAGTTCAAGGCTACAGTGAGCTATGATCACACCACTGTAGCCCAGCCGGGGCGACAGAACAAGACCGTCTCAAAATTAAGTGTAAAAATACTAATTAAAGTTAAGTTTTAAAAACAAAATCCTGATAGCATAATACAAACAAACCTCTGGAGAGAGAAAAATGAAGATCACAGTGTCCACAACATGGACTGACAGTGACAGGAAGTAAAGGGGAAAACACCAGATGTGGTGGCTCACGCCTGTAATCCCAGCACTTTGGGAGGCTGAGGTGGGCGGATCACCTGAGGTCAGGAGTTCAAGACCAGCCTGGCCAACATGGAGAAACCCCGACTCCACTTAAAATACAAAATTAGCCAGGCATGGGGGTGCATACCCATAATCGCAGCTACTCAGGAGGCTGTGGCAGGAGAATCACTGGAACCCAAGAGGCAGAGGTTGTGGTGAGCCGAGATCACCCCACTGCACTCCAGCCTGGGCAACAAGAGCGAAACTCCGTCTCAAAAAATTTTTAAAAAGGGAGAAAAAGGCCTGGGTCACTGAGCAGTAAGATCGAACATCACCATCCATATCCTTCCATGTTCTGATTCCCAGGACCCTACTTCCTCAGCCAGTCCACTACTTAGCTCATCTGTGTGCCAAAGGTGAGTCACCTGCCACCAAACAGGCCAGCATCTCAGATCTTTCAAACACCCTCTGTGCTGTATTCAAGATCTAAACAGAGTTTTAAAACACTGACTTCCTTCCCATCCTTGATGATAAAGATCTTGCCTTACAGACTTTACAGGCTTGGCTTTTAGATTCTGTAACTTCAGACTTCATTAGCACACAGATTCACTTTAATTTCCTAATTTTTTTTTCAGTACAAAGAGGGGCTATTAACACCCAGTACAGACATATCCATGAGGTCATAAATGCATGCTAGAAAACTAGGGCTGGATTTTATCACTGCCCTGTCTGCAGATCCTCAGTGCCCCTTTCCACACAGGCATGTTTTTCTCATAGAGTAATCATATGAACAGTTTTTATGACCTCCTTTTGGTCTGAAATACTTTTGAACAGAATTTCTTTCTTTAAAAAAAAAAAAAAAAAAACAGACGGGGTCTTACTGTGTTGCCCAGGCTGGTCTCGAACTCCTGGGCTCAAGTGATCCTTCTGCCTTGGCCTCCCGAAGTGCTGGGATTGCAGGCATAAGCTACCGTGTGGGGCCTGAACATAATTTCAAGAGGAGGATTTATAAAACAATTTTCTCTAATCATATGATTGGTGTCATTTTCCCATTTGCCAAGGTAGTCTCACTTAAAAAAAAATAAAGAAAAGAAATGGATAATTTCATCCGCTGCCTTTACTTGGGGTTAACGTGGTTCTTTAACACCTTCATCTTGGAACTCTCCAAGTGGAGTCCCTCTTGGGTTCCTGGTGGTGGGTTTTGAAAGATAAGGGAAAGCACATTTTGAGCATCTCTGGGTACCACGGTGCGGAACACTTGGGAACCAGTGCTGTTTCAGAGGAATCTGAAGTCTGCTTTTAGTTTTCAGAGACACGGCTTGTTGTAAAACATCAGAAGACATGACTTCCAGGACTCAAGCAGCA